GCTTTGTGCTCCTTCCTCCTAACACCATTTACTGGAAGCTGGAAATCTGTTGCTCTACTGTTTCTCCATTGCCGTGGTGTTTTCTATCCCTCATTTTGCTAAAGGGTTAACTGATGGCACGACCATAGCTGGACTGGCCATCAGGCATTTGCCCGGTGGGCCGATGGTGATTTTTTGTTTTTATGGGCCGATGACTTTATTTTATTTATTTATTTATTTATTTATTTTTGTAACAGTATAAACAATGAAAGGTGGTGAATTGGCCAGATGCTGGCTGATGTGTCAAAATAAGTCAGTTGTTTAGTGGTGGCTATAGCAGAGCTTCTACAGAGGCCAGCAGGTGGATGAGGGAAAGGGGAAGCAGGAGGAGGAGAGACCCGAGGCGGCCGCTGGTCCGAGGTGAGCTGAACTTCAGGTAAGAAGTTATGACCTGCAGTCTAGCTGGGTCAGATATAAACCAAGTTTAGGTGGAGTTCATTTTCATTTTTACAGTCAATAACTTGTACTGCGTACTAGCTAGCATGACAGAGTTTCTATACAGCTGGGTGGGTGCTATGATGTTACTGATAGTGAACTTTATTTTATTCATAAGGTTAGTTAGTAGAGTTGCCAACCGTTCGGTAAAAAGTGGAATCGTCTCGTATTCAGAGAAAATATTACACGTTTCGTATTGAGGTGAAAAGGAACAGTTTGTCCCGTACTTCAGCTAGAATGGAAAAAGACACAAAGCTGGAGTTATTCTGTCTTTACGCTGTCAGCTGCTTCTTCTTCGCTCATTCTCTCCCCCTCCCTCTCCTGTTGCTACTGCAATCATGAAACTGATCAGTGATCAGCTGACTGGCTTTTCTCTCTTGTTTGTTTATCGCCCACTTTGCGCCAGAAAGAGGAAACCAGCGGATGTCGCGCTAAACAACAGCTGTGTTAAGCTTGATCAGCTGTTGTTAGAATTTATTTAATATTAATTTCTAGTATCAGCTGATGTTTGCTGGAGCCACAGCTGTAAAGCTGCTGGTCATGATATGGTTTTGTTATCTGGTGAGAGGGAAACATGAAGATGAAACCAGGAGATGTCCTTACTGAATCATCAGAGCTGAACAGGTGATGGAAAAACAGGTTTACCTTTTAGGTGACAAAGCAAAGTTTTGCCAGGGGGGCATGTAGGGCATTAACAGGGAAAGGGGGGCATAAAGAAATACTTTTCTTTCTTATTCTCATTTAAAATGTCTAGCTTTTAATAAATAATTATCTGAATCTTACAACTAACATTTTAATTTGATGTAAAATGTATAGAAATCATACATATACCAACAAGACTGTGTACATCACTGTCACAACAGCGTTCGTTTTCATTCCAAGGCTTTATAGCTTTAATACCTGGTGGGCCGGTCTCTAGTCAAAATGCCTGGGCTGATTTTTGGTCCCAGTCCAGCTCTGGGCACAACACGCAGTGAATTAATCTGAGAAGGTGCATTAAAAAATAAATGGCCGGGCCAGCGGTGCAGGGCTCACAATAACATTATCAGCTGATGCATTCAACAGAGATTTATTAAAGTTTGTTTGCTGCTTGTGTGATTACAGATGCAGGGAGAGTTATGCTTCCCAGGTTTCCACTGATGACTGAGCCTTCAACCTGCAGCAGATAGAGGACGTTCAAGAAGCTGCTGCTGTCCCCGTCCAAGAAGATGCCACGTTCTGCACCCCGCACTTTCTGGGCCACCAGCTGGACGTCATCGCCGTCGTCGTCGGCCCCCACAACTGTTTCCCCGTCGCCGCCCGCACGGTCAGCCCCAGAACTGTTTCCATGTTGCTGCTGTTGCCGTCCGCACGGTCGGCCCCCTGAAATGCTTTCCCCTTGGCTCCTGTACTGTCGGGACCGGGGTCGGCCCCCTGAACTATGTTTCTGGACTCTATTCCCTGCAGCCCATGGTTGTTATTGGCCCACCTGTTTTATGCTTTTCATTTTGTGTTGGACTATTTTCTGAGTTCCTGTGATGGACATTTTGGTTTTGTTCCTTATATAAAAGAAGAACTTTTCCCCTCAGTTCCTCCTCCATCAAATCTCTTTCAAGTACAGGGCAATTCAAAATCGATTTAGGCTACGTCCACACGTACACGGGTATTTTTGAAAACGGAGATTTTCCGTTTTTGTTTTAAAAAATAATCCCGTCCACACGTAAAGGCAGAAATGAAGGAAAACGCTGCTAGGAACATGCCAAAGCAACAGGTGGTGATATATTCCCAACCGTGCAGAAATGTTGGCCAATCAGAAGTCTAGAAGCCTCGGTGGGAAAAAGTAAACAAGGATGAGGCATTGAAGCAGGACCGAGTGGTATGTGTGGAGGGACAGTAACTGTGTGTATATGTAAGCATTTAAACACTGCAGAGAGTACAATTAACAGTAACAGTATTGTAGAAATTCATTTCACCGAAACAATAACGTGGCGCACAGTGTGACGTCAAAAAAGGCGCACACCTTTGACGCTGCGTTTTCTCTGTTTTCTCCATTTTTCTCGTCCACACCTAAATGCAAAAACGAAAGGTGCAAACGCATAGAAAAATCTGCGTTTTCAAAAATACCTGGGTACGTGTGGACGTAGCCTTAGTCTGTGTGTGGATGGATTTATGTGGATGGACTAAAGAATTTTAAATGAAACATGAAAGCACATAGTGCTCAAAACTTTAGCTGTCTGTGAAAATGAACTAAAATAACAATAATATTTGTCAGGTTACATGGTTGAAAGTTATCACTTCATAAGATCACTCAGCAGTAACATGATTGTAAGTACAAGCTCCTGTTTGATTCTCTAAAAAAACCTTTCATATTTGAATGTCCTGAAGTGCACAGTGTGATGTAAAAAAGTAGAAGCTAAAAGTACAAAGAGTATATTATATTCTGGATCTAACAGAGATCCAGTGGAGAGAAGCCCAACAACTACTCTTTCAAGAATTTTTAGATGAAAGGAAAGTTGGAGACTGGCCTATAATTAGCTAAGGCAGCACGCTTAAGAGATGGCTTTTTAAGTAAGGGTTTAACTACTACCAGTTTGAAGGCTTGTGGTACATCATTCATATGATTGAGCCATATGAATGAATCATATGATCATTACTCCATTATAAAATATTATATTTTTACCATATGTCATAAAAATTATGACTGTCATAACTTTTTATTACTTCCTATATTGTGTCCTGTGTCATAAATCATTTGCTTCACAGAAAGTGTGTGAGTGAGTGTGTGTGTGTGTGTGTGGG